GGTAAATATAGAGACAAACAGCTGACAATTATCACTTGGCAGCAGGTTAGGGCAAAGGAATACCCTGCCTGGTAGCTCAACGAAAAAGGGCTATAACAATAGTGCCCTGAGTGTTGTTTTCGCAAATATCCCCGAATCAACCGCCATCACATTGTGTGGTAAGTTGTCGGAAGGCCAAGACTAATGGAACTCAATGCGCGTTGTGGCGAGCCTCGAAGCCAAAACCATAAACCTAGTAGGGGTTATTCATCACCGAGACCCTGCACACTATGGAGAACCCAGACTTATTCGAGTAACACTAGAATCCTCCACTGAGGCAGAAATCGTGTTACTCTCTGCAAGTGTGCTACAACACGGACCCCATGGAATACGTATCTATCATAATGTCCCTTGGGGCGTGCGACAATCGAAAAGAAACACCGAGAAAGGACTCAGCAAGCAAGATCGCCTAAACACAATTTTCATCCATGGCGTGTCAGAGATTTCTTGCACCGATATTCAAGAGGTCGGAAATCATGACTTAGAACAGTGGCGGTTCATTCATGAAACAATTTCCTTGCACAATGTTGCGGCGCTATCGCTAAAAAGGCTACTTCACTCATCAACTTATAGAGCGTGTGGCCAAGGAGTCCAAAAATTGTGGATCAGCCAGAGTAAACAGCAACAAGCTTTTGGTCCGACAGCGCAGAAATCTGAAATATCTTCCTTCTGAACTTTAGTTAGATTGCAAAAGATTTGCCGAGTCCAGATATCAAAGCATCTGAAACAAATAAAACTAGCGGCGATGGTACAGATGCTTGATTTGACTGTTACTTTAATTGACTACGAAGTAGGTTTAGACGAGGTTTGGGGGCGACTTGGCCTAATCGTCACAGACGAGGTATTAGTATCCCAACAAAATACGAGTAACGACTAGTCTCACTGCAGTCGGCATTCTCCCACACTTAACCATTTTAACCATCCGTGCGCTCCCCAGACCGAAAGCCTAGCCCACATGTATCCGAATGCTCAGGGCATTTTCAAAAAGCTAACCGAACTAAAAGCTCGCCCATTTTCCGGTTATATGACATCATCGGTATTCATGAGATGCGGAATGACGGACGTTGAAATTTCGCTGCCAAACACGTCGCTCATCCAAACCGACAGACTCACCGAAGCAACTTACAGTGTGATACCATTGAGGATTCAGGCTTGCAGTTCCCCGATTCTCTTTGGTGCCGCTTGCAGTTAAAATGCAGAGACATTTGCCTTATTACCATGGTGCACCGCCCCCTAACTCTACACCCGAGATGGAATGCCCCTTGCGGCTGCTTTAAGATGAAGTCCAAAGCGAAAGTACACTCACATCCTTATCATGGGTGATTTCAGCGTACACTGTTTAGAAACTACTGCCACGTCTGAGAGTGATTCAAATCCGATATGCAAGAGCTCGTACTCAGTGTTCCGGTTTACAATCAGGTCACTTTGCCCACTCGATTCAGAATAGGGAACAGGACATCAGTGTTGGAGCTGGTGTTTACCAATGAGGAGGAAATTCGAAATAATTTGGAACACTGGTAGCCCGGCTTGGTTGCTCACCTGTTGACCGTTTTTCCGAGCTTGGTTAAGAGATCGCATACGTTTCACCACCATGCGAGGCATCTTCAGCGCAGTAATAGGCAGTGTATAATGCTGCTTATTGAATTGTCAGTCCGTCATCCACGGGCAGGTGACTTTTGAAGGTGGCGATTTCGATTTGCGCCACGTGATCGCAGCTAATTTGCTTCCACGGCTGAACCACGTCTTGCGATTCGAAGGAGATATTTCCTTCTGAGTTGATGGTACACGGGGTCGATGTCGATGCGCATGTTGATCGAATTATTAGAGGAGTACCATGCTTCTAGGAACTCTCTTCCTTTCTGTGTTGTTGGTTGAGCTAAAATCACTGTTTGTTTCCAATTGAAGCTATGTCCCTCCTCATCCACATGCGCTGAGACAACAGACGATGCGTAATGCTTTTTACAAGCCCTCTGATGTTGTTGTACCCTGCCCGCTAGGTTGCAGTGATCATGCAGACATTATTTGCAACTGATTCTGATATGCGGAATATGGGAACGTGAATGATGGGGACCATTATACGTTACGAGCGATTAGGACAGATTGCCAGCGCTACAACTTGGTCGTTCCTTGCCGAAGAATCTTCTGAAATCACCTGGCTCGAGTTCGTCAACAAATTAAGTGGTATGATTACAGATGCTTCAGTTTGCAATGAGTCTAAATCAGTTTCGTTCGTTAGGAGCAGAATTAGAAAATGGATGTTAGTGCACAAAGCAGCATGGCGAGTGTACAGAATAACTCTGAGGCCAGAAAACTGGGATAAATAAATAGCCCAACGTAACCACTGCAATCAACTACTCAGAGAATACACAACCGCATATCAGCAGGACATTGCATAAACGTCCAGCACTAACTACAAACTGCTGTAGAAGCACATCAATGGCCAACGAATGTGAGGAATGGGTTTCCTTCAATCAGAACAGCTGATATCCCAACAGGAAGGGCTATGGAAGCAGTAAACGCACTGTGGATGTAGATTCCCCCCACGTTTCAGGGTCTCACCATCAAGTAATTTCACAGATTTTGTTGTCCGCCACCAGGACTTACCCACATCACTCTTACGGCTGAAGCTTAAATGCTGAATCTGATGGCACTGCGCGACCGCAGCTCGCCAGGTGTCGATACCATTCGTCCAGAAGCACTTTTAATAGCAAAAAGACTACTTGAAGGACCTAGGGCTTAGTTCGTCCTGCGCTGCTTAGATCAAAACCAGATTCCTGCTATGTGGATGCTTGGAATAATAATTTATTCACAAAGGCGGAAGCAGAACTGAGCCTTTAAATTACCGCCTATTATCTCCTTACCTGGTAACATCCAATATCATGAAATCCATCGTTACCGCTACGCTGGTGTGCTATCTGAAAAACTCAATCAACATTACTCCCGAGCAGCACGGCTTCCGTTGACAACGATCATTCACAAGGAATTTAATACTCGCACACCGTAGTTGGACCGAGTCAGCTGACGCTGAGGAGGATCTTGACGAGATCTACCTAGGTTTTTCGAATAAATTCGATCGTCTAGCTAATAGGATACTCCTCTCCAAGCCCCGGTATTGCGAGATCAGTGACCCCTTTCTAGCTGAATCGCCAATTTCCTCCTTCAACAACAATCAGTGGGCAAAGTTCCGAGCACATTATCGGACCCCATACAAGTCAAGTGTGGTGTGCCGCAAGACTGTCGTTGTTGTTTATTATTGACCTCGCACATGCAATCGCTTCAAATTTCCTAATGTTCGCCGACGACATTAAGATTGGGCACAGGATTCAGGTGAATGCCAGCCAGCATCTGCCTCAGAGTGACCTAGACACCATACATCTGTGGTCATTCCAGACTGTACTGCAGTGCAAGCTGAATAACTGTAAGATACTCTCCATACGACACCAGATCAGCTACTCATACAGGCTCAGAACGCATATACTTCGCAATTGTCCGTCGAACCTGCTCTGGGTGTGCTGGCTCAAAATGACTAAGGCAATCCGAAAAGGCCTAGGCTGGTAACCAACAAGTCGGTCTGTTTCGACGGGCGTTCGGACACTTAGAGATCTCTATTTTCGACAGATGTCCAGTACATATGTTCGCCCCCATGTCGAATAGGCCATTCAAGCCTGACATCCATGACTGAAAGACGACCTTAATGAACTGAAGCAATTTCAAGTCGGCCATCCAAATATGTCACAGGAATGCGCAATCTCCCATACGCCCAGAGGCTGAAACGATTGGGGGTATTCAGCAGACAGTATCGCAGATTACAAGGCGATCTGCTAATAGCCTACTTGATTCTTCATGATTCACATCATTCGTGCCACTTCTTACTGCAACCTAGCAGCAATGCAACACTGAGAGGTCAATCACTGAAACTCACAGTATAGGATAGCCGTTTGGAGTGCCACAGAAGTTTCTTTTTCATTCGTGTATGTCACTATTGGGATGGTCCTCCTGAATTGGTCGTCTCGACACCAACACTGACAATATTTAAAAGACGGTTGGGTGACACACTCATCCATCCTACTCCTGAAATATATCCAGGATTTATTTGCTGTTATCAGTGGGTGCTAAGATACTACGTGCATTTCAGAACTACAGGGGAACAAACCACAGATCCTTCCTTTCGTGCTTAAGACACGAACTGTTTTATTATTGTTTGCTCCCAAAATCCCACCAAACTACTCAACGGGACTTGTGAAGCAGTGCTGTTTAACCCGTATAAATGCGTTGTTTATCCGAGTTAGGAATTTCATATCCATCCTATGCACATGCAAATTAACCAGCCATTTTTTGTGTGTTTCGTCAGCGACTGTTATTTTCAGCTCCTGGAACGAGATCTAAAAGTGGAAGTGTTATATCAACAAAATTTGTGTGGTCTGTTTACTTCGGCAACACACTCGCCAAATGAAAACTGCAAGAGAGAGAGTCACGGGGTCTCAGATGAGATGGAATGACCGAGTCATTGATATTTAATCGCCAGCTGAAAATCCACCATTCGTACGTGCATTTAGCGCATTCTCGGTTGATACATTATATATGCACCCACAGTAACCGTTAAAATACCGGATGATGCCTTACACCATTTACATTACTTGCTATGACCCACGTTCATCGAGTGACAACAAAATGAAGACAAGCATGGTGCTCACTACCACCCATGAAATCGAGGTAGGCGGACCAACACTTGTGCGGTTTCGAATAGCATGGTGGATTCACATATGGGCGGTTTGTCATATTGATGATGTTCTTCCTTGAAATTGTGTATTTTACCCGGACCAATGTACTGAACATGTAAAGCTTTAGCTGTTCTATTGACTTATCCCATTGTGCAATCTACCATCTTCCCTAACCACACACACACACACACACACACACACACACACACAGATTGCCCATCTTTTCTGCTTTGTCTTCAGGGTATTATTATTGCCTCAACATGGTGCTCATTACCCTGTCTTCCTTCTTATCGGTGATCGTGATCAATTTGTACTTTCGAGGGGATCGTCGGAACCGTGTCCCTTGGTGGATTCGAAAAGTAAGTGCGTGTTTATTTAACTCATGCATTCAATGTGGGGCTGAATCGCCTATATTATATGCGGCCGCTGCAAGGGATAAATATTGTTGCTGGGACCTTGGACAACATGATGCAAAATGGCCATTGAATTGTCCTTTAATTTCTACGGTAGAGGTTCACCTGCGCAACTCGAATATGGTGTATGCTGGTAGCTTTTTCACATGATAGGAATCTTAATGTTGCTGCATTCGCAGTTCCGTACTCATATGTCATTTAGAACATGCATTCATTTGACGCCTGTTTTGGTGGAGGTCGCAAGCAGTTATCAACAGAAATTTACTGACGTGTGCTGAGAACCGAAAACTTATTTTGGACAGCAGCAGTGCTGGTTTCGCTGCAAGCGTGGTGCTTGTGTATTCATACGAGATGTAATGAGTTCTAAAGCCTGTTAATTAAATTTGTCGTCATGGACGTATTTTCGAATGGTTTCACCGCGACTAGATCCAGTCAAACTATCACCACCTACCTGGAAGGAAGCTGGACGGCCTGCTCGCCCCGTGGGAATTTATCAACTGCGTATATCCTCGCCGTGTCCCATGAGAAACAACGCGCCTTTCTCCACTAGCAGCTACATCGGAGTGAAAAGGACATTCAATTTTTGTGTGACACTTCTGGAGTCGCTAATTTCCATTTCTAGAGATTGGTTTACGGGAAAACACTGGGAGATAAAGGTGACTTTTAAATTTTCGGCAATTCACTGAACGCCACTACCGGTTTCGTGGACCAAGCAGCGCTTTGTAGACTTAGCACAGCTGAGAAAAAACGCGTTACAACTAGCTGCTGTGCAGTTTTTGTACAATGCATCAGTTATAGACTCGTAGGCTGAACCCCCATGCCCAGTCGTGTGGCTATACAGGAAATAAATATGAAGGTCACTGTCAGACCAGTTGTACCAAAACAGTTCATTTAACTGTGAACATATTTTGCAAATTTGGTGCTGTATCGGATTAGTTGTTTGGAGTGACTTGGTATCATCCAATGGTGAAAAAAGTTATAAGTTGAAGTAAGGGGAAATATTCCAGATATTTTGTGTATGTGCGCCTAGTTCATTGGTGAATACGCAAACCAGGCATGAGAGAGCTCTCAATTAAAAACGCCATCTCTAAGGCGTCAAAATGTTTGTTGCGAACCGAACAGTTTACTTCTGAGTACAAAGCAGGAATTTTAGACGGAAACGAAGGACGCGGAAGGTATTCATTCTAATCAATACACAGACATGCGGCACGAGGTGACCACACGGTCAAGCTCTAAGATGCATGATGATGAGCTCGGTCGAGTCGTCTGATTTGTGGACAAGTTGTATTTCAGTGGGTGAGAAACGAAAATAAGCTGATCCTACCACCAATGTGCGAGCTGAGCCTAAGATTGTACGTGAAAATTATGAAGTAGACCGGTAAGTCTTTGGTGGACAGGCGTAGAGGGTGAAGATAGGATTAGTATATAGAACTTAGTGTGGGTAGTTCAGGTTTTTCATTTGTTAGATGAAATGTTCTCTGAGCTTGGCAGTTTTGTCGCAAACGTTTCGCATCGCTGTACTGCACTACGCTACGCACTGATGACGTCATCTCGACTGGTGACGAAACCTTTGCAACAAGACCGCCAACCTCAGAGAACAGAAGACAGAGTTCCCCGGATGAGCTCCACAAATGTTCAGTATCTGTGACCAAACAGTGGTGGTCCTGTATGCAGGTTACAATATTCTCCCAAGTGTATCGCTACCGAGTTTATCGTATCCACTTATCGTCTTCACTTATAGTATTTTGGTCAACACCAATTGTGGTAACGCTTTTTAGGTTACGGAGTTCCTGGATTAAAAACCCGTAATTCTTGGATGCCAAAAGGGATTGAAAACGTGTATTCCCATGATTGTATTTTGGGGCTCCCAGATGTTGTACACGAGGTGGTCTAGAGTCAGCCGGCGATTCAAAAAGGAATAATGGTCGATGATGAAGTGTATGAGGTGTTTGAAAGAATAGTCGATACAGCTGGTGATGTTATCAGCTGACCGGAAGGTTATGTAGTAAAATGTAAAAGGTACACTACATACCTCCCCACCAGTGCGCTAGTCGCACGATGTTCAAGTGACCAGGAGTAAAAAACCCGGTGGGAATAGCCGGTAAAAACTGACCTCTACCTGGTACAGTGTCGCATGAAATACCCGAGGTTGAGGTATGGGAGGCATGCAGGCTACTATTCTGTGTGTAAAGTACAATGAAAGATTTTGGGAGCAGTGCAGGATGGTAAATGCACGGATGTTGGATTTGTCTAGACTGGATGATCCGCTTCTTGCGAGATGTTCAGTTGCATCCTGGCGGAATCTGAAGAACAATAAACTGGAGGAGAATGGCAGCAAGCGGTACAAGCAAGTGATCAGCAGAACAAGATGATATTGTCAAGATGTGTGATACACTAAGCGGTCTGGAAAATGGACTCGCCTTCCTGACCGTGTCTGCCGCATATTAATGTCTCCTTGTGACTTAGCTTTAGATGTTGCAAGCTGCGGGTCATCTTCAACGAGCTGTAGTGTCTGCTGCATACACGGTGTCGTGTGAAAATCAGTAGATTGTTGTTTACAAGGTTTTTCGATGTGCGCTGGTTTTAGACGGTCTACGGAAACCGCATCGACTTTACCATTCTTGTTGATCATATGATGTTTTTCGGTTCTAGCGATCACCTGGAATGGTCCTTCGTGGGGTGGTCGTAATGACTTGAGGACCGCGTCATTTCGTACCCACACGTGTGAACAAGTTTCGAGATCTTTCGTTATGTAACACTTGTTGGTGTGCGCGCGTGGGGGGATAAAGTACAATTCACGCATAGATGAACGTAGCCGATGGACAAAATTTGAGGGATCTATAACGTCGATGTCGGTCGGTTGAACGAGATCAGCCGGGAACTTTAACGTGGTACCATATACCAGCTTCGCAGTGGAGCAAGCTAAATCAGCTTTAGGTGTTGTTCGAAGACCTAATAACACCAGCGGTACGGTTTCTGTCCAACGGGTAGTATCGGAACACGCCATCAAAGCTGCTTTGAGATGACGGTGGAAACGTTCGAATAACCCGTTCATGATGGGTGGTACGCAGTTGTTCTTACAGGCTTGCTTCCGAGAGTATTGGTTAACTCTCGAAAAAGCGTCGGGGGGGGGCGTCGGAGTTCACCCAAAATACCATTAATGATGTTAATCAAGCTTGTGGCACAGCACTTGTTCGCAGAAGCCTCAGTTTATCTGAAATCCCCTTTCAGTTTCATATTTATCCACTATGGGCCTATATTGTAAATGTACAAAATTTGAGATCACTCCGACATGGTTATGCGTAAATCTTAACGCCGTGTACGCTGTTCTCTCTCATGATGTGGCTGTTCCACCCTAACTTGCCAAGGGGTTGTTTATACTCAGGCAAACTGTTCAGTCATAAACACAGTGCTGACCGATACCTTACCGTGGTGCGATGGTTTGCGTGCCTCAGAGATCCATTGAGCTATGCTGGGTGGTGTTTTTATTGCATCTTCAGAGCCACTCATACCAGATTGGTCAATAGTTAGAGGCCAGACAAACTCAGCCTCCTGGTCCTCCAGGTTGGGGGTTGGAATGGGGGTGGCTCCTCATTTCATAAAACGGGCTCTGTAGTCCAGTGCCAAAACCTGCCGCCTTGCGGTAAGGTTTTTGATCTAAAGGCTTTGGTTGAGAACCCTAATCGTTTCCTGTCTAGGCCTGGGCAACCTGACAGTATTCTGCCCACGCAATACAATGAACCTTTCCTACAACAATTTCTTGATGCTCAGGCGTCGCAGAGGATTATAAACGGCGCCCTATCTGCTGCATCGAGCAGGGTGGATAGGGGTATGGATGCTACTGCTAAGGCCTTCCCGTCTTCTTATATCCCTTCCTGCGCTTCTTCATCCTTATCGTCCCGTTCCAGCTTTACTTATATCCCCCCCATTTTCAATCCCCCAATTCTTGGCCCTCCCCCAGCTTACTTCAATAGTCGCTTGTCTTCTAATTTCAAACCACGCACAATCGCAGGGCCTCGCTCCAATCCAGTCGACAAGTCCATGTTCAACAAAGCGGACAACGTCAGTTCATCCGTTTCCCTTTAGAGTCCTCGTGTCTCGCTAAGACTGGCATGCCTCAACGTGCGCACTTTGCTACAGATTGGCCAACAGGCAGCACTTGTCCGCACACTAGAGACCCTATCGATCGATATTTGCTGTTTATCAGAAACCCGCCTGCAAGGTTCGAGCTCCGTGCTTACCCTGAGATCCCCCCACATGCGACACTGGCGGCACATTCTTATTGCACCTGTCTGGCGATGATGCAGCTTCAAATGCCGGTCAAGCTGGCGTCGGCATTGTTTTGAGTCCCCGGGCTGAAGCTGCCCTGATTGATTGGACTCCAGTAAAGAGTAGGATGGGCGCCATTAGATTAACTGGTTCGTTCCGTGCTACGAAGTCGCGCGGGGACAAACGGTGCCTGTTTGTCATTGCGGCCTACGCCCCTACAAACTGTAGCACTGATTCGGTAAAAGATGATTTCTATCAGCAACTTCACGAGCTCCTTCGTTACAGAAGAAGCACGGATACTGTGGTGTTCGCTGGCGATCTAAACGCCAAAGTCGGAAAATTGTCCTCTGATGAGCTTCATCTGGGCGGCCAACATGGTGTAGGCTCCCGTAATGATAATGGTGAGCGATTGCTACAGCTGTGTGAAGATGCTCGCCTCTTCCTCGCGAGCACTAACTTTTGACACAGAACCCGCAGAAGCGTGACTTGGCGGCCACCAGCCTCGGGCCAGCCATGGACGCAAATCGATCATATCGCGATCAGTTAACTCTGGAGAGGCTGTGTCCAAAACTGTCGCTCGATTTGGAGCACCAGCATGGACTCTGATCACGCACTTGTCTGCGTCGACCTCCTGGTGCGTTTCGGTGGACGTCCGCAACGTCGATGTGAACGCATTG